TCACTTAGCTGTGCTGCAGTGTAAACTGCTGTCTGAAAGAGTCAGCATGACATGTCTTAGCTCAACCATAACAGATAAGGATTAGTGCGAGAGGTTCAGAAAGAACTATGAAAAATACTGAATGGAGTCATGAAATACAATTTGTTCAAGGAACTTTTACCTTCCTTTGTCATCTTCACAATTGACAATGCCGGCATCGATGGCTCCGATGAGTAGTGATGCACAGTTTTCATGATCATTGATTCTGCCAAAGAAAATACATTTTTGAAAAGGTCATGGCTACATATTTTAACACTTTCCAATATTGGTTTATTTTACTTCCCACTAATATTTCTTAGTGGTTATTTCTAAGTTACCCTAATATGCCTTTGTCTTAATGCTTTTAGTCACACTTCTGCATATTCATCATCTCTCCATTTAACCAAACTGCATCTACGATGGATTTCAATCTCTAAGCTGATCAGCTAAACTGATCCTTAATTCATTATGCACAAAGGTAATTTCAAAGTCCAGAACAAAGCTAGGATTAAAACCTTAATATCTTAAAATCCTTACTCTAAACGTCAAACACACTTGGGCTGGGAAAGCACTCAGTTATAGACACTTACAGGAAGAGAGCTTTATTCTAATGTTTAAAGTACTGAAACCCACATCTCTTCCAAGTCACACATTTAGCACTTTGATTTGATGGATGTGTTCAATTAGTACTTTTTCTGGGTTTTGCTGATTTGTCTCATTTCTTTAGGAGAATGAGCAGTATTTAGTAACAGTAATGGACACAAAGTATAGCTGACACACTTCCACGTTGGATTAAAAGCTATTTTCATCTTAAATTTGCAAACATGTTTAAATTGCACACATTTTAGTGAGCTTGAGAATTGCATACTGGTTTAAAATAATATGAATACTGACATATTTTTCAAAGCTGTTACTAGAAATTTTGATTTAAAATAATATGTTTCAGCCACAAGGAATTGTATTTCAAGTGATCAGCTTTAAAATCATTTGCTCATGCAAATAATTTCCAAAACAGCTTGCTTTATTCTCATACTGCTACTTTCTGCAGACATATCCTAAAGCAACATGCAGTTGTTACTGGAGATTTCTTACTTACACGGCACAGTGCAGTGGAGAGAAGCTATTACCATAGAACTTGTGGAAAAGTTTTTGTTCCAAGAGTACCTCTATGCAGTTTTCATGCCCTGTGAGAAAGCAGATATTTCACAGTGTTGCACAAAGCAGATAGCTGACTTAATTCATATTAGCCTTACACAGGTTGGAATTTCACACTTTTAAGTTCAAAGTTGAACATGATGTGTATATGAGCTCTTATATGATAAATCAGAGAATTTTTAAATTTTATGGCAGCAGTAAGAGATATATGGCCTGATTTTAGCATTTATTGAGAAAAAAGGAAAGAAAAAAAAGCTCTTTTTAATGTATGTCATGTATGTTGCATTACATCCAAAGCTTAAATGTCAATTCTGAGAAGCTTCATCCTTATATTAAGCAACAAGTTCAGATTATCCCGTTTAGAATAATCAGTTCAGTTCAGAACATCCATCTATTCACACGTTTTCTTGCACCAAGAGCTCAAAGGAGCGTTCCTGGTCTCACAGAAATCAATTTCAGCATGGACATGAATAAAACCAGAATGTCATCCTGGCTTCTTGTGATTTGGAGCCGCAGAGTCCCTGGGAGGTAGCGCTGGAATTTCCCTGGCCTCTGAACTGAAGGGTGCACATAGCAAATGCTAACTGCAGACAGCAAACAGGGATAATTTGCCTCTTCATTTCCAGCTCCCCCACCACATTTCCCCACTGCTGAGGCCACCCTTCACCCAGGCAGTAGCTCCAGGAGAGCCTTACCATTGTAACAAGCCCAGTGCAGGGGTGTGTAGCCCTGGTTGTCTTTCAGGCTGCAGTCCTCCTCAGAAAGTGCCACCTGCAGTAACTCGCTCAGCCACGTGGCGTGACCCCGGGCTGCTGCAAAGTGCAGAGGTGTCCTGCCTCTGGCATCTTTACACAAAATAGAGACTTCTTTCTCTAACAGCATCTGAACACATTCTTCATGCCCTGTCATGATCTGGTAACAAAGAAATGAGTAAAGAGATTGACAAAACACAGATTCTTGCCCCGGAAATACGGAATGTGATTGATGCCTGTGAATGTGAAATGGTGTGGATGGGATTCAGCAAGCAGAGATGAGAGCCCCTTTGCTCACCTGCTGAACTGCTCACTGCAGTTATCATAGAGTTGTGTATAAATATCATCCCTTGCATCAGTTCCACATTGGGTAAGAAGCTAGACTTAGCTAGGAAAGTCTAGCTTAGTCAAGCTGGACTAGAAAAGATTAGATCTGCCTCAAGTTTCACCACCTCTAGAAAAAACTTAAAGGACTTACTACTTACTTAGCATTCCAAGAAAAATGAATGTAACTACTGGCCAGTTCTTTCAAAGAAATTATTTTCAAAATTCTTAAGTTGCTCAGTTACAAGAATAATGATTGCTATTATAAAGTGTCTAGAGATAAAACCAACCAAACAAAAAAGTGGTCTAATCATTATTTTGGCTAATTAATTAATGCAAATTAATGCAAATGTGAAATAAAAGCAAAGCATCACTAAGAGCAGATCTGTCTTTCTTTGTGTCTCACTGATTATGCTTGGTCATGTTTCCAATCATTTACAGTGTTCTCTAGATTTAAATATCCCTGTGCTTATAAGTGAATTGTAGTCACAGCAAAACAAATAATAAAGGATTATAAAAATTAAGTCACCCCTCGATGTAAAGCTGTGCATCCCAGGAGATCAGCTGCATCTACAGATGCTTCTTTTTCAAGTAATAAAGAAACAGCATCAATGTGCCCATATGCCACTGCAAGCATTAGTGGAGTTCTAGGAAAAAAAAAAAAGAAAAGCAGAGCAGTGATAGCTATAAAATGGCATTTGTCCCTGCTAACTTACACAGAGAAATCAGGAAGCCCTGCATTTCTTGCCACTCCTACCCATGAACCTGGTTCTTTTCCCCATATTTATACATGACACCCAAGTGAAGACCTTTTCTATGAAATTATTAAGACATTTAACAACCAACTGCCATGACTGAATTAGTAACAAACCCACTTGTAAGCAGTTTACAGAGCAACACCTTTCAAGACAATGTGTTCTCTTAATGACCTACAATTACTATCACCTCCAGTTTTACAATACCAAGTCTTGTGAATGCATGTCCCTGCTAGTTACCAAGATAAAAATGACCCTAAGTATTTATTTTGCAAATGCTGCACAGTTGCTTAAAGGGGATGAAAGAACATGAGAAAAATATTCAAACTGAAATCTGGACTAACATATCTTTCATTTGTTTCTGAAAGAGATCTATTCTCCATCTATTTTTAGGCAGACTAATACCATTTAAAATTAAATATGCAGACATTATATGTTCCAGACACCCCAAATGAGTTTCTCAAACCGTTCACATTTTCACTTTAAAAATATGTCTTATTCTCCCTCTATAACTGCCATTTAACAAGCAGTAAAATTTTTGTAGGAACATCTCATATGCATGTGCCACCTCAAATAAACACTGTGTGCTACTGCACCAGTCTAATGTACCAAATAAACCCTAGAATAGCAATGTTTTAGAAGGAAAAAGAATCTACAGAAACATCTCAGGAGCTTGTTAATTTTTTATTGAATCTGGCCCTCCACATCTATAAAAGATTGTTTAAAGTATGAAGCAGAGGCTAAGATTAATGGTTAGTCCTTTCCACATGGCTTACATCAACTGAATGTGTACTTTGTAATCTCTGCCAAATTCTATGAGCAGAAGTGCAGGAAATACAGTATTTCAAATAAGTACTTTTTTGTGAGAAATATGAGATGCTATTTGAATTACAGAGCTGGGGGAAAAAAAAAGCCCACAAAGAAAACTTACTGTCCTTTGGCGTCTGTCACATCAGGGTTGTCTGCAACTTCCAGCAACAACCGTAAACAAGGTGTATGGCCATTAATGACTATAAAGGAAAAAAATTATGTTTAATTTCAGATACTTTTCCACTGGAATGCTTAGGGATAAGAAATATCCTTATAAACAAGGAAAATACTCCACCATATAAGAGATCCATATTCCCTCAATTTTCATTTAACTTGTGCCAGTGAAATGGTGAGCTGTTTTTTCCTTGACCTCACAAAGATGAGGATTAGTTCTCTTAGATAGAAAAATCCCAAATGAGTAAAACAGAAATTGTGATATTCACTACTGAGATTTCTACTAAAGCAGACAACATTTCAAAATTCCCCAGACTGAGCAGGCAAGCAAGGCTTTCTGCACTCAGGGCTGGAACACAGTAGGAAGTACACTGTCAAGGCTACTTCATGTTATGTGTGCTGCACAAGTGAATACTTCAGTGCTGCAATGAAAAAAAAAAAATCTGCAAAGAATGACCAACAATACAAATGTCATACTCATAAAATCACATAACATCAGAGACTAAAATCACCTTTGAGTTTATCCATTTTATAAAAAACGAAACTTAACAAAAACATTTGTGTTTGGAGTTTTGGTTTGGATTTGGGGGGGGCTTGTATTTTGTGTGGTTTTTGGGTTTTGTTGTTTTGGGTTTTTTATGTAACCCATTGCTGCTAGGAAACAGCTCTGAGTTACTACATTCTGTAGGGCCTGGCACTGAACCCCATCTGTGTGTCAGCTGGCTTTGAGGCTTCAGACTTTCATAGGATGAAGAGACAGATATTTTCTTCTTTGAAAAACAATTCCTGTGCTCAGTAGATATATGTTGTGTTCTTATTACAGCTAGTCATGCATTCACACTGCCTACACCCTGTGGGCTGAGGCAAAACCCTTGGACACCACCTATGTCACATCATGCTGGCAGAGAAACCGGTGCACATCATCACATTTAAATTACGCATCCAAAAATAATCTTAGTTGATTTACCCAGAAAAATAAAAGTTATTTTAGTTATTTACCACTAAGTAATGACATTTCAGGGGGGGAAATAGAGGTCTGTTCTTTGTCCCAGCAGGAGAAACAAAAGTCATAAAAACATAAAGACATGTTCACAAAGATGTGTGAAAATGATTTTGGTAAACGAGTTTTAGAACACATACTCCCAGAAACTCTTAGGAGCTGACCCAGTGATTGCTAAGCGTTACAGGCCCTGCAGGGAATGTTAGTTTTGCCAACAGATCCACAGCACTAACACTAGGGGAACATTTGCAACGGATTCCCCGGGGTAGCCGGAGGAGAGGCTGGTAGTAATAAAATTACATGGAGAATGTATCATTTAGGAGAAGGAAATTCTCCATGTTATGAGGTCAGAGGAAGTCTATTGCTTTCTGGGGACAGACAGAAAAAAGAAACACTTCATTAGGTGAGTTCTATACTCAAGTCACAAATCCCTTTACTGCCACAAATGTGCAGAATCTTGTCATCCACCGCTTGAGGCCTCCTGAGCTCTGTGTTCAGCAATTGTGCCAGTGTAATTAGGAGGAATGAGGGCAAACAAGTTTAAGGGGATGGATGCACATTGCCTTCTTTGTTTCCTCCCATGTGGAAACTCACAGTGCTGCATGTGCAAGTGCTCACTTCTGTGCGTGCAAATGCACACTGGCACTCAAAGGAATAACTCAGCAAGAATTCTGTTTGATTTCTCAAAATGCACCACTTGAGCAGCCAAGGGATGAGCAGCAGCTGCCAGCCGAGTTCCCAGCAGGTGGCACCAGCCCTTGCTGAACACTGCTCACCAGAGCGCTTCCTCACCGAGCGGCACATCGCAAGGGGATCGCTGGAGGTGGTGGTGGTAAAAGCTTTACTCCAGAGATCATTTCATCAGAACTCTACAGAGCTCTTGAGTGGAAGGTTCTAAACGTTGTCTTAATGGATATTTACCCCAAGTGCATTTAACTCACATTTGAAAGCTTTCAAATTTATGACAGTGGTGAATTTACTGAGGAGCTCAAATACTCAACCCGTCTGTGCATTGCTTTCCCTTCTGCTCAAGGTAACATGTTCTCTTTTGTGTCTCATTCCTGAGTGTAGGATTTTCTTGCTGTTTTTCCTGGTTGGGCTTTTTGTATATGTGGTTTTGTGTTTGTTTTTAACACATATCAAACTAATTTTGCTTCACTACAAATTTAAAGAATAATTTATCTGCATGCCTGGGAATGTCTTTAAGTCTGAGAAGCAAAAAGCATCACGGACCAGAAAAATCTGCAATGAATCTTCCTACTGGTTTCACATGGAAGGCACTCATTACTACATTGATGGAGGTGATGAAAAAGCAAATTAAAAGGGGGCAAGGCAGGGGAACACAATTTGAATTTATATGACAGTAAGAAAGGTGTGTATTAAAATAACATCTCCCATTCAACAAGTTTACCCAATTTACTCAACGGATTTATTCAACAGATTCGTATCTTAAGTCAGAGCTGCTAACAAAAATATGGTTTTGTTACCATTCACTTTTCTCAGTACTGAAGAACCTTTACAGTTCAGTTGTGACAACTAGAAACTTACGTCACTATAACCACATTTTTAAATAAATGCAAAACTTTGCTGTAGTGATGATGTACCAGACAAAGTCACACCTTGTTCCCATCAGATCCCAAGACATGTTAGAAGTAACTACAGGGAAAGTTCTTAAAGTTCTTGAACAACACAGCTCAGTTTTGTGGTAGCACTAATACTGATTTCAATTAATTAAACAATCAGTATTTATCATAGGGAGAAATGTGCTGAGTTCTGATGCAAAGTTTAAGCAGACAGGAAGCATTTTTAGTATTCAGTGTGGATCAATTGCAAGCATTTCCTTCAGTACTGCAGACAAAATTGGTAAGTCTATTTGACCTCATGTTTCCAGGTTGCACTTACATGATCACACACAGGGAATAAACTGATACTACAGAATATATATGCATTTTTGCAAGACTGAAAGATAAGCAGAAAGACAATTAAGTCTGGTCCTGAATTAATTATCTACGTGGTATTAATTTTCCTTCCCACTAGAGGCCACTGCTACCCTGTACCGAGCCCCTCCTGGAGCAGCAGGAGACACATTCCCTTTGGCACCTCTACGTATTTACCTGACAGGTGCATGTCAAATAATAACCTTCAAATAAATGACAAAGTCTACATTTCTCAGCTAATTTTGCATGTTACATAATTAACACCCCACACAGGAGGAAATGAGCAGGCTGCCAGCAAGTGCAAGTTCACAGGCTGCCTCAGGAGGAGGAGGAAGCCTGAAAGAGGGGGGTGAATTTCTGTGGTGTTGCCACTGCAAATGGCTGCAAGTTCTGAACACCAGAATAATTTCATTGCCAGTCAGAGCCCACATCTATTTTTCAACCTTTCTTCCAAAGGAGAAGCAGTGAGGCAAGTGTTCCCTCCTCCCCTGATTATTTGGCTGAAGAACCAGCAAGAGAAGGTGTCATGAGGGAAAACATCACACCTCCTGAAGAGCAGGCAACAGAGAGAAGCAAGCAGGTAAAGGGTAAAGCAGTAGTGGTGTTACAAAAATATGGGATTCTGTATGAGGGAGGACTGAACCACAAGGATAGAGGCAAAAAAGATGAATGAAAGGAAAGAAAAAGGGTTTCAATGTGCAACATCAGCAAACAAGTATCACTCCTCAGGACATGTGAGAATTTTGTTCCCTTTAGAAGAAATGTGCACAGCAGCAGCAGGTAAGTGAAGGTACCTGCTTAGGTGTGGGAGGCTTTATACCACAAGGGCAGCATAAGATCACACTCACCTGAGGCATGGAGGGGGGTCCTTTTGGTGACATTGTCCTTTACAGTGACAGAAGCACCCTGGCTGATGAGAGCTTCCACACATTCTGCATGTCCTCTAAACGCAGCCAAGTCCAAAGCAGTGCGTCCCTTCTCATCCCTAATATCCAGATCTACCAGAGATTGGAGAAGTACCTCCAGAGCTTGATGATGACCATTATAGGCCTAGAATTATGAAATGTGTCATGTAAAGAACACAACTCCCATCTTTCAAAGACCTTTCCAGTAAATAGTGAATAAAATCCATTCCTTTCAATGTCTCCTAAACACAACAGAAACCAGTTTTCTTGATTCCTTATGACTCTATTCAACCTTCAAGAATTTTTCCAAATTACATGGTACCCAAGAAATTAAAAAATTCCTAGTGTTTAGGAAAAGAAATTATGATTCTTGATTTGCTCTAACCTTCTAGTCCAACCTAAAGTGAGGAAAATTCAGGCAATAACTTGCCAAGCCAGCACAGGTGAATCAGCAATGAATTTTTCACATGCTACAGTATCTGACAGCAAAACATTTGCTTCAAAATCTTGATTCACTAGAGAGATCCATGGATTATCACCTAACTGGTGCTGAATTCAACACATGTGCTGGTCTCCAACTAAACAAAAGTGATTCTCAAACCAGATGTGCAAATACAAACACAAACTTGACCTGTTGTTTACAGCTGATGCTTCATGGAGAATTCATGCCAGCAGGTACATTTGGTAGAACAACTACAGTGGACACACAGATGCATTTCCAGACCACAGCCACACTGGGGCCAACAGCACAAACACAGGTGGCATTGCAAAAACCCAGTGGACAGTGCCAGAAATTGGAAATGTTTTGTTCAGCTTAGTAGAGCCTCCCCTCCTCTCCTCATTGACGTACTAAGAGCATCTTTTTATTTATACACAGTTGTATAGTTAGTATTAGCAGAGTTGAAGCTGTGAACTCTCCATGCCTGAAGACATTCAAAATGTGCTTGTGCACAGCCCTGAAAACATCTGCTCTACCTGATTCTGCTTTTACCACAGAGGTGGGACTCAATCTCCAGAGGTCCGTGTCAACCTCAGCCATTCTGTGATTCTGACAAAGAAAACTGGGAATAGGAATCTTGAGCTCTTGGGACAGGGGAGCAATTGTTATCTCTGAGGCCACCTCTGCTGGATCCTGTGCGATTGATATGCCAGTCTCCATAGCATTCTCTGCTGCATTTTAAATGCTTCCCCACACCTTGCTGTGTACCAAACAGTTTTTTTGCACTGCACCTCTCCACCAGAACATCAGAGAATCTCAATCCATTATCAAAGATCCTAGGCTCAAGCTTTGGCCTCATATCTTTAAACTAGTTCTAAATACAAGTATGAATTTCCATTTAATTTCACCTCGGTGTCAGCGTCATCTTCTTACCCAAGTGTTAGAGTCAGGAAGAGCCAAGGGCTTCAACTGCCTAAAACTTAATTAATGATTCCAGCCCAGAACCTGGCTTTGTTACATCTAGGCCTACATCCCTCCCCGCCTTTTTCAAAACAAGCCTGCAGTTAAACTTGCTTCAAAGGCAAGATTAAGGAACTACTCTAGGAGATGCTGCTCAAACATTTTACACATCTCATACTTACAGCTAAATGCAAAGGACTTTTTGTAGCTGCAGAATCAGATTCCTCAAACATATTGTTTGTTTTTTCCAGAAGCTGGGAAGAAAAAAAATAAAGTCTTATAACATTTTAACATGAGACAGGTTAAACTTTCATGGACTATAAATCTATAAATCAGCAAAGTTGTATTTTGGCCACAGTAACTATTGAAGGATTGCATAGTATTTTCAAATTTTTTCTGCAGAGGGTAAAGCTATAAAACCAGTTTAAAGGCTTGTAATGAACATCCTTACCCTGATTAATTAGTTTCCATGAGATCCTGGAGCCTGCTTGGGTGAGAAAGGAGCCCTTAAAACAATGGATTTGTGGAATAGAGCCCTCAGTAAATTTACATTGGAGAAAGCTCAGTTTCATGATTACACAACATATGCAAGCCATGTCTGATACAGTGTTTTGGGTAATTCTCACACATAATTAGCACTGGGAATAATTATAACTGAGCTATGAATCATTGATAAATTATAAAATTGACTGAAAGAACAATCTGCTCCTACAATGACAGTCTTCCAAAATGTAACATGTCCCTGAACTCTTACAAGCATCCAGTAATTCTAGTAACAAATTTGTATAATTATCTTTATTTTACGGCTTAAAACCAAGGACATTTTGATCCCTCTAGAAGGAGGAGCTATGGAAAAGCACCACTCCACAACAGGACAGGAACCCTGACAATTTATCCAGCTGAGGCAGCAAAGAAAATCATACACAGCGTCACCGACGCTTTTGACAGTTCAACATCTGTTGAGTGGCACTGCTCATGTGCACGGCCTTTTGCTTAATAACTACTCAGAGTTAGCCTCCAAAAGCTTTTTGGGTCTGGAAATTAGCATTTTACAGAAAATCAGCAATGGGGGACTGAAAAGCATGACAGTCAACTAAAACAGACTTGTAATGTTTCTAAGGCCACGAGTAAATTTTTCAGTCTTTTTCAAGGTTTTTTGTTTGCTTGGTTGTCTGGTTTGTTTTGTTTTTTTAAATAGTAAAGAATTAATTAAAAGATGGAAAAAGAAGAAATTTTTTGATAATCTGGACAATTTTAGGCTATGCCAACATGGAAAAATCTCCAAAGAGACCATGAAAGGCTACAGGAGGGCTTGCCTGTGCTGTGAGATGATGGCATATTCCTAACTGATGTAGGCCTGAACTTTTGGTGTAACAACTTAGTCTGCAATAGATCTGTATCAATGATAAATTGATCCAATGATAAATTGACCCAAAAATCAAACTGGAATACAAATTAGTCTTAATAATGCTTACGGTGTTACAAATCTCTTATTCAACAAGGATGCTATTCTGAATCCTATGGAAATGCTAGAAAATTAAGCAGTAATTTAATTTCCTTGTGTATTTTGTGCCTAGCAATATGTCAAGATGATGTGTTGATAAAGATACCAGTCATAAGCAAGTAGATGTGTGTATTAACAGGTAATGCAAATTTTGACACTTCCTTACAGCTAAGGGGAAGAAAAAACATCAAGCCTCCCACCAAGTTTCTTGGTAGGTTTGGGGCAGAGTTAAGAAACGCATTTGGTGTTGCCATGTGGAACCACCTCCAGTTAAAATACTGTTCTTCTCTTATATAAGAGAGCTGTGAACAGGATGAAGCAGTAGCCAGCTCTGAGTACACAAATGCATCTGATTTTCTCCAGTGAGTAAACAAGCTAAAAAAATCCCACCAAACAAACCCAAGCACTAAGCCTGTTCTCTTGCCTACCTGGTACTGGCCTTTAGTCTGTGTCCATGAGGCCAGCACGGCAGACTAATTTAATCATTTTTAATTACATTTATCATCACATATTGAAATTCCAGGATCAAAATCATAACAAGTAAATATTTCCCTTCACCTGTCAGAAGGCTCCAAAAGTCTCCTGGAACAAGGCACATAATTGCCTTTCGAATAGATGAAAAAAAAACCACACAGAAAATTGACAAAATTAAGGCTCTAAAGGTGCAAATTGTGGGATTGGAGAGCCCCTCACAAAAGGCATCTCCATGGCTTAGAGTCAAAGCAGCTAAGGCTGGTGCAGACCAGGCTTAATGAGCTTATTAGTCATAAGGCTGAATATCTCCATCATAAAGTCAAGCGCAAACATGAATTTGATGGCAAACCTGGCAGCTCTCAGAAACAGAGCCATACACTGCAAGAAGAGAAATTATAAAGGAGAACAAGAAGAGGAAAATAAAAGACACAGCACTAATAATTTTTTAGCATTCCTTATCAAGCATCGTGTTCTAACAATTAAGTCACTTGAATGATAAACATAATGTACAAAGATATAAAAAATACTAAGTCACCAAGAAATTCTCCAGCTTTACCAGTGTTTCTATGGTTCTATGGATGCATTTATAGTAAATTACATATACTTGCTATAATAACACATAGAACAGTGTGTCCTTGGGGGACTCTATTTCCATTATACTTGGAAGAAGCTACGCATAGTTGCATCTGTTTTTAAAAAGGTAAATTTATCATTCCAAATCATTTGTCCTGGCAGCCATGGAAGCTTAAATTCCACAGAGCTCACAGAGCAATCCCAGCATGTCTGCTGTGCTGCAATCCATACCTGCCTGTGAAGCTGCATTTCACCAAAGACAGACAAATAAGCATTAATTAACAACAGTTTACGGTTACTGGTGGCTGACTGGAGAATGTCCCAGCTTATTGCATTTCTTATTTTTGAGACTTTACAAGTTTGCCTTGTAGCAGACTGCATTTCTCTGTGTCAACTGCCACAGATTTTAGGTGGGTGCCAGAACTGTGCAAAGACCCTGCATGTGAAACTGAGGGGCACTCTTCCCTGTGGGCAGGTCAGAACCTTTCTAAAGGCAAGGGGACCCTTCTTCTCTGCCTCTTGAGAATTCCCAGCATGACCCTTTCACTTCCCATGACAGCACTGTTTAATACTGTAAGTATTAAATTAATACTGTAAGTATTAAACAATTATTTTATGAAGTCTTCTTCAGACTCAGAAACAGGAATGTGAATGCTTTGGAAGATGCACACTAAGATAAAACATCAATTATTCAGTTCTAGTCTTACAAACTAACAGCACTACAATATTGCTATTATAAACTTTTCCCCAGTTCAGCATGAAGATGAATAACTTTTACAGCTCTCACCATTTCATTTGTGCAGTAAGGGTATTTAGAGGCATAAGAGGATTTACTGCTTGATTTCATTCTGTGGTTATAATAAATGACTATATAGCAGGATACAGTGTGGGTTCCCCCCCTTCATTTTTGGGGCATTCAGATATGCCAGTTAATGAGTCAGGATACTTCCTGTGATTGTCCTCATAGACTACAATATATTCTAAAATTCAGCTCTGGTTAAAAAAAAAAAAAAGCAAAAAAAAAAGCAAAAAAAAAAGCAGCTTCATGGAGCATGTCAGTAATCTAAAATTACCATTAAGCAGAAAAAGAGATAATACTTTCATCATGCATAAAAGGTTTATGCTATGCTTTTCAAAGCAAAAATCAAAAGAAACTTCAGACCATAGACAGTGAAACGATGGGCACTATCTCAAACCCTAGAAAAGAACAGAACGTGATCCTGTCCAAGCCATCATGCACAGGCACCTCCAGGCACAGCCATTTCAGTGCACTCCCAATAGTTATATCCCAGGTTTGTGCTGCCTGGCACTGAAGTTAAAGGGACTTTCCTTTGAGAGTTTTTCTGTTTAATCAAGGCAGCTTTGACATTCCAACACACACACTGCCAGTACTGCTGGTGAACCCCTGCAGTTTGGTGCTACTCACACTAACTGTAAAATGGCAAAGCATTAGATTGGCTGTGTATATTCTAAAAATGGCCTTTACTCTGAAAAGTTATTCATCTAAGAGTATTCAGAAATGTCCACACACGAAGAGCTGATCAAAAGGTAATAAAGTCAAAAGGAATAGTTGGACACTGCTCTTACGCAACAATTATGCAGCGGTGCTGCTGATCACTTACAAGGTCATTCAGAAGTGGCATTTAGTCATGATTTTTAATGTCACTTTCAGAACTGAATACAAATATATGAGCTAGGTGTCACTTTGCATCTCATATTTCCTGATAAGTTGCAACAGATAATCGTCTCTGCTCTGGGAAAACATGCCACCAGCAGCTTCTTTTAAATAAAGGCTTTTCCAGCAAGTAGCCAGCACAAGATTGAAAACCCTCATCAGTTGTTTCTGATGATATAGAAAACAGCAGTAAAATGAACCTCTGAACTACTTTATCTCAATCAGGGAAGCACATTTTAAAATCTCAGAATTATTCCTGATTGATGAAAAATCCAAAGGTGAAGTGGCACAAACATATCCTTGGGGGAACAAGCAATCCTGTAAGCTCTCTCCATATTTAAGATCAAATTATTTTAATTTGACCAGGTTAAAACCAATACCCCTCTTAACCTAGTGCTGAAGCTTTCCTAAGATCAGGCTTTAAAAATCTGATTCATCAATATTGCCATCAGTTTCACTCACATGCACTGATAGGGGTGAAGTTAAATTAACTTAAGCAAGAAGTATTTTCACAAGAGGCTGGCTGAGCCTGAAGAGATATGTTAGTGCCTCTGTGCAGCTCCTCCAGTACAAAGTTTAAGTATCCAATACCCACCAGAACAGTCACCACCATGCAAACAGGACACTTACCTGGCATATAAGAGAACAATGTTCAGATCTTTAAATGTATCTAAATCTGAAACTCAAGCAGGCCTCCATGCCCCAGGCTGTTCTCAGCTGGGGCACTGATCTATCGGAGCTCTTCCACTCCATACAAAATCATTTCATGTTCAGCCATAGGAGTGCCATACTCAGTGGGTCATAGACACAGGTGATTGTCACCCAGTGGGTATTTAAACAGTGCAGAACAGCTCCAAATGAGAGTGAGGGATCACCCCCAGTACCAGCCTGAATAATATGTTGGTTACTCCTAGGGATGTAGAAGTCCAATTCCTTTGTCAGTCAGAGCATAGATTTGAACCTGGGACTTTCACACTCAAATCATGCATATCATGTTTCTTTCTGCCCAAAAATTCTACCTCAGAGGTTCTGTAAAACCTCACGCTTTTGCTTTAAACTTTGCTTTTAACATCTCTTAACCAAAGAAACTTTTGCAAATCATACAGGTATGGAAAAGGTATAGGAAAGCTTATATTTAGAGAAATTACTATCCTTAGAAGTTTCCTCTTTAGATAGAAAACTTGAGGACTGGTGAAATACAGTGACAGCCAATTTTTAAAATGTTCATTTCAGTGTTATTTTTGCTACTCTCCTCTCATTTGAGCCTCTACTCTGAAACACACGCAAATACTTTTTAAATTCAAGCCCACCTGAAGCCACATAATTTACATTTCTTCTCCAAAACACTTTAAAATTGGCCACAAACTTCCAGAGAACAGACAAGTGTGGTTCCATTTCACATTACCAAATGCAAAGTTACTTTAACATCCAGGGAAGTGTCATGCCAGCCAGGTACGTGCACTGGACTCACAGCTCCTAAGACTGACTGAGGAGAAGCAACAGCCTTGAGCAAAGCTGGAACCTGCAAGCAGCAGGGAGAAGGAATTCCAATGGAAGCAGAAGCAGCACACATGCAATTGCTTCAAGTACATGGCATGCTGGTTAAGAGCTGTGACTCTTCTTCCTCAGGCTTCACCAGAGTGATTACGAGGATTTGCAAAATACTAAGAAGTTTAAATAAAAATACACAACATGCAATCACTTTTCATTTACTCACTATATCCAATGGAGTTTTGCTTCCAATCTAATTAAAAATGTCAATTAGAATTAGAATAATTAAAGACAGAAACACTCAATTGTAATTGTAATCTGAAAATGTTTCTTGGTTTATTTTTCCTGAACAGTAACTGCATTGCACACAGTGCCTGAACAGAATCACGGACCTGACCCCGTGTGCCCCATCCCTACACTGTGCACACCCAGAGGAAATACTCCTGGAGCAATGCACCACAGCCACTGTGGAGAGATATCGGTTACCTTACTTCATCAGGAAGGAAGGAAGAGAGGAGAATAATGAGAATGTTTAAGATCAGCCTCCTCAATTGACAAAACACAGATCAACAGATACATAACACACACACACACTGTGGGATGCTTTGCTTAATGAAGTGAGATTGCTTTGTAAACCTACAAATACCAATAAATCAAAGACAGTTTCTGTTTGAAAGTCTGCTCATGCAGGCAAGCATCTTGTCTTGGATAAATAAACCTGACTGCACCCCTAAAATCCCAGTGACCACAGCTCTTTCTGAGAGCCTAATACTCTAATGCAATATACCAGGATAAAATAAATGTCTTTTTCTTTGGATTCAGTAGATTCGAGGGAGCTAGATATTCTTCACACATAACATTTAAACACCACACACACAGATGCACAGAAAGGTATTTAAGACAACAGCAGAAGTCCGTGATCCCTTTCCTAACTGAAGGAAAAATTACTCCTGAAGTTCTGCAGTGGCCTTGTTGTTCTCTGTCAGAAGAAAGCAGATATAAGTGTCTTGCTTCTCCACCCCAGGAAAATTAAAATACAGACTTAAAAAGACAAGAAAGACAGAAAATAAACCCCAGAGATGCTAAGCAATACTTTATCCTACAAGGCAAAGTGCCAGCAGAGTGCCAGGGCAAACAGTAAATTCCTGCCCTCATTGATTTCCTCAGCAGTATTAGCTTATTAGAAAACATTTTTAGAATCCAAATGATCTAGTTTCCAAAGCATAAAATCTAAGCCAAACTGCACTTCTATAAACTAACTTATATCAGTGTACCTAGCATATCTGGGCTCCTACTGATTGTTTAAACAGAAACAGTGAGTACACAATGCACAAAGGCTGACATCAAAACTCAAACAATTAAATCAGTCGACCATGATTTGGGGGATTCTGCAACTGACAGACAAATTAGATGTCTTAAAGTTATTTTTGAGCACTAAGCTCCCAGGTTCTTCTTCTCTTTAGAACCACTTAAGTTAATGACTTTGTGCTTCTCTGCTCCATGTGGGAAAAGCTCTCAAAGACAAAGGTACAGAGTAATTGATCACACAAGACACTGCTGCCTCAGCCTCACACAAAATGCTCCCTTTAAGAAAGAGAGTGTTGGTTGTGGAGACAGACAGGCAATTATGAAGGAGAAAACCCAGGTTGTATCCCCCAGATAAAGAGATCTGAGTCAGAAGCAGGCCTAGGGGCTGCCACTGGACAAGCATCCAAGCCAGATCCCCATGTGGAAAAAAGATCTTTAACACCTATCCCAGCCACTGCTGTGATTCACTCATCAGTAATTACCAGTGTCCTGCTCTCAGATGGATGAATGAACACATTTGTGTTGATAGGAAATAGGTAATTAGCAGCAGCCACATCCAAGATTTATAGTGTCTGTGATTTCAATTTCTCCACAGGTTAAGGAATCAAGTGTTTGAAGACATGGCTTATCTGCCTTGCAGTGCACAGCTGCTCTGATCAAAGGTATTCCCCAGCCTCTCCATTCCCAGAGTGGCCTTGTGCTGCCCAGACACCTTCCTCTGCCCCAGCTCCCCAGCACACACAAAGGGATTTGCCTTTTCTTCTGGGCACAGCTTTTGGTTAAACCATTCTCTCCTCCCATCCTCAAATGATTTAGCCCCTGTGACAATTCGATTTCTATCAGTCAAAGAGGGAATTACATTTGCTGATGGATAAAAGTATCCATCAATTCTTAAAGTCAGAGAATAGATTTCACTAGAGAAGACAGGCATTTAATTCTGTTTGGCCTAGCATTGCACAGAAACCTATTTTTATCAGCACAAAGCGCTTGACTGTGTCTCCAGATAGAACTTTAATGTGAAATTACAATTTAAATTCCCCTCTTTTCACACTAATAAAGATCTTGTGATAAGAGAACATTTCAATGTGAAAAATCCACAATATTTTTCTTTTTTTCAGAGGAGTTTGGTGATGTGATCAGCTCTAAAATACCAGGTATCAGTCATGACTGGTATCACTGATTACCAACAGCAAAGCCAGCCCCAGCCTAAACAAACCTGAGGTTATCTCTAGGAGCAGGAAGGCAGGTGGGAGTTTCAGTGGCTTGCAAGCACACATGCCCACCATTCAGCCTTCATCCCTACAGATGGAGAAACAACTCAGGAATCAGCTTCCACTCTTCTATATTTAGCAACATCACATCATTCACTGCAGGGCAGCTACCTCACTAATATTGCAGACAGCCTAAAGGTCCTCCAGGAAAAAAGTTTTGCTTGTTGAGCTCTGTGGTTAAACACACAAAACATATATTTTGTTTGGGTCAAATATATGACCTTTTTGTTCTTAATCCTTATTTCTCCTAATACCTCCCTACAAAGAAATGTAGCTAAGTTCCAGCCAAGCTATTGGGCTTACAGTAAACACAAAAGTCAAAGAATGAAAATATGTTTCCATAGATAAATCGGCCTTTCCCTAAACTGCATTCAAACGTGTAAATATTTTATAATGCTGAGAAACTGGTGCTTAAAGCACAAGCCAAATTTCCCAGTGAAAGAAACCCCACTAGATACTACATCTTTTTCTTAGGACTTACTTTTTAAAGTGAACGTTCATTTAGAAATAAGCTCTTTTAGCTAGCTGCTAAAAAAAAAAAAACAACCGTGGGGGAAGGCAAATGAAAAAATAATCTTACAAAATCTTTTATAAACTTGACATATTCTGGAATACCAAAATAATTCCCAATCATTTTGCTGAAGTTTAGTGTTGTGCATATAGAGAAATACTAGTTATTATTATTCATAGAAAAACAAGATTATTGTTGCACCCACCTTGACTTAGTTTTGACCAGAATTAAAGGTCCATATTACATGTGAACTCTTTCCTCTAACAAATTTTAGACCCATAAAGAGCTGTCTTGTTCCAGGCAAGATAATTCCTAGATATTTTCATGTATCAGCTACCAATAATAAACAAAAAATATTTACCCAGGGGATAAAATAGTAAAAGAACAGCTCATATGGCACTGAAAAATAATGGTTTGTTTACATAATCCCACCTGACTTTGCTTTCAGTCCTTTTGCCATCCTGAATCCCAGCATTGCAAAGAAATCAGTGTAATGGTGGTGCCTGTATCAGTTAGTTAGAGCTATCAAATGTAAAGCTGCTAAACCCCCAACTCAGTAAGTCATGACATAAAAACTGAGTCAGCTTCTTCTGACAGTGGGTGCAAGGATGACAGATCCTGGTCCTACTGTTGGACAAGCACAAAGGCTTTCTACACCTTTAGCCTTTGTATTCCAGAGAGAAAATGGCATGCCTGCTACCCTCCAAACACCAATGGAAAAATTCTGCTCCTCTCAAAACTTTCAGGCTGGCACCCTAACGCACACCAGTGGTCCTGTGCATGCTGAGGGCTAAGATCCATGAAGGCAGAACAGATCACAGAACAGCTGTGTTACTCTAACTCTGTAAATGATGCTTGGCTTGCAGCTATAGTCACAAACACAGGAAGACTGAGAGGGAAAAACATGGAGTTTTTCTTTCCAGGTATAGAACACTCGCTGCACAGCTCAGGCCCATAGTTTGCATTTCACCCCTCCAGATTAAAAGAAAACCCAACACCTCTGACATGCACTGCATTCCCAGCTCTTCCTTTTGTCTGCCCAGCCTGAGCAATGCCAGGATTTGACAGCAGGTCATTGCCTGCAAGTGAAATGTACAGAAAATGTGCCCAGCAATAAGTACAGAAAAAGAGAGGGGACCTTGCTCTGTGTCCAATCCATGCCTCACAGCACACAGGGACTGCAGAAGGAGAATTCCCAGTCAAGATGCTCCCCATCCATCCCCACGGGCAGAGTCACCTGAGATCAGTGCTAGGAGAAGGCAAGGCCAAACTCACTGCCAGGAGCAACAAAGGAGCAGTGCTAATTTTAAGTGTCCTAAATATACATGCTTGCAGGTGGGAGCTAAAAAGGCTTAACACCCCACCTGAAATTCTGCCCCAGGCCTGCCCTGGCAGAGTTACTGCCCCAGGTTTCCAAGCTGCTGGAACCAGCTGCAGGCCAGCTGCAGCATTTTCCTGTTGTGGCCCATGTGGTGTGAAAGCAGCAAGTGCAGAGCTCCTTCTCAATAACTAAATACTTGACTCTTCAACACAGAAAGAAAGAACCAAACAACATATAACACTAAACAGCACACAGTGTTCTCACTAAAGCATGGATATATATACAATTTTCCAATTGGAGCTTATTTCCTGGAAGCAATTAAAGGCAATTTATATGCAACATATATATATTATAGTATGTATAGGATCTATAATGTATATAATAATACTATATATATATTATCTACATAAAAATTTTGGATCACCCGGTATATCAAGCAGTTAACACTCACCTTTATGATACTTTAACAGGTCACATATGTCTATAAGCCCATTCTATACATCTCCCAAATCCAGTAACTAACTAAAAATTCTTGGCTTCTTAGAAGCTGCGATTACTAATCAGTCAGACCCAGAATATTAAAAAAGGAATAACCAAAAAAAAACCCCCAAAATTCGCAGCAGCTTTGCATATAAGGTTGGTCTTGATTATGGTGATTGATCAATGTTGCCATTATTTCACCAGGGACAAAAAGAAACTGTAGGTGTGAAGCAAAAGTTATTTACTCCCTCAGTATGCAAGTCAGATAAAGTGCCAGGTGGATCAGGCACATTCACTGTCATTTAACAGGAACTGTCCCTTCTCCTGGCACTTAGGCATACACTGGCAATATTTTGATCAGGCTTAAAATTAATCAAATTAAAATAATTTGTGTATACATAAACTCCATTCAAAGACAATCCTTAAGCACCAGGCTGTTGAATAAGGACTTGATTATCAAGATAAAGATATTTTTAAGATATGTCTGGGTGCAAATATTTGAGTTTACTGCCCCATGTTGCAGGTTTTCACAGATTTCTTACTATCCAAAGAACTCCAATAGTAGCCATGAGGGGAGTTCATAATTCTGGTACATGCACATCCAATGTCAGCAGACAGAGACTTCCCGAAGCGAGCACTCACCAGCTCCAAGCACTGCCGGTGCCCGTAGGCAGCAGCGTAATGCACAGTGTTGTACCCCTCCTTGTCCTGGATGGATGGGTTGGCATCGTTCTGGAGAAGGAACTCGAGACACCTGGGGACAATTCACTGGGGTA